AACAAGAGGTGGGAGAGGAAAGGGACAGCCAACTCACCATACATGTGAACACCTGGTCTTACAGGCAAGAATAGAGGTTGCAGGAGGTGCAGCACTTCTGAGATTCATTCAGCATTGCATAACACTGAAACCCATAAGTATTTTATCATAGCCAGCATCCTCCTCTATGTTGCTCATAGAAAGACTGTACACAAAGATATACAAATACATGTGCCTGCAAAAACATGCGTATATAAATATATGTATCTATATGTACACAGACACACACAAACACATACATTCTCCGCACTGTACACAAAGATATACAAATACATGGGCCTGCAAAAACATGCATATATAAATATATATATACATGTACGCAGACACACACAAACACACACATTCTCCATACAGCCAGTGCTTCCACCTTGTTTCTACAACACTGCTTGCTAGGAGAGAATGCTAAAGCAGCACAGGGTGCTCTGCTCTGCACCCTGTGACATTCTCTACTAGAAGTCCTAACCAGGCACACTCCACAGCCAACGCAGTTGAAGCCTGGTGAAGCTCTGGGATAGAGGAATCTTGCATATGGAGCAGCGAGAGCAACAGCAGACCTGAATGGGAAGCAGGGAAGAAGGTAAAAAAGTGGTAAGAGAGCATCTGTCACATTCTACCCCAAACTTATTACTTCTAAGAATTTAGGGAACACAAGTGCTTCTGGAAGGCTAAGAAGTGCAAATGAAAGGGCAAGTTTCTGCAAAAAGCCAGCTCTACCCAACAACAGCAGCACCTCCCTGCTTTAAAACCAGGATTTGCCCATTTCTCACAAGCACCAGCACTATTTCCCCCTGCTGCATTTTTTTTTTTTTTGCCTGTACCCCACCTCTGCATCTCCCTTCTCCAAAGCCTCAACGTTTATCATGGAGATCTGGTCTTACATCACTGTTCCACTCATCTTGGGCTCAATAACCAGCAATATTGGTATAGGGAGGGAGAGGGAGAAAAGGGCACGTACACACTCTGCTTTTTCCCTTGCAAAGCTCATGCTCTTACTGAAAGCTGTTACAAAAGCAAGATAAACCCACAAACAATAGGATTCTCTCATTTTCCTTCTATGTTTCCCAGGCAACACCTAGCACTCAACAAAAATTTAGAGTGCAAAGCCCCCTCTGTTTGGTCAGCTAATGCCAAGAAGATGAAGAGAATTAAGCAGAGCTTCTCGCAGCTTATTTTTCGGCCACCCCAGTCAGACACTTGCAGCAGGGACATTTATATCCAACATTACACTGTATTTAAATCCAATCTTCTCTGCTGGAGCTCTGAAAATTTGACGAAGGAGGTGCATTTCTGCTTGTAGAATAACAGATCTGTAGCTACCCTTGCACTCCTGGGTGGGAATGCATGACAGGACGACGAAGGCACGTGTGCATGGATCTCAGCAGGCATGCTCCAGGCTATAATTGCCCAGACAAAAACATAACTGCATTGACATTAAACACCAGTAAGTGTGGTAGAGAGGATTCAACAGATCTGCAAAACTGGTCAAGGCCCATAGTACCCAACAGCTTGACAAGCTGAAGTTCAAAGGGCAGGCCATGGCTTTAACATACTGCACATATGTTTAGTA